CGGCGCGGGCGAGGGTGGGTGCAAGTGGTCTCCTCCGCCCCCTTTACCCACCCACTCATCGTCCTCTCCATCCATCACGCCCTCCGGCGCACAGTAGAGCGGAAGGAAAGAAAAACTGGAAAATCAATAACTATGACAGTGTTGTTTGAGTTTGACTTTTTGGTGGCTACGTAGGTTTGCGGGATTGCCATGTTCGAATGAGTCGCCAAACTTAAAACAGCTTCAATATACAAGATACGATTTGGGGGGGGGGGTTAGCAAATATTTATGACTTGTTCCTGGTGAATGAAGCCTCTTACAATTTAAATGATTTTTTATCTTACTTAATATCTTGAAATGTGTTTTGGATTCCCGGAAACCTATTGATTAATAAAGCCATGTATAGAATAAGTAAAATCCAAAAAGAACATTTCTTTAAAACTAACCTTCTATGATCTAGTCATTTTGTATTTTTTTATATGAAATACATAGTTGTGTTTTGTAAACGCGTCCTCTACGTGCTAAGAATTCGCTACCAAAAGTGAGTACACGTTATGAACATACAAATAACTCAAATTTTCATATAAGTGCATTGCAGTTGTACCGTTAGTTCATCTCAGTGTTGATCCAAAATAAATGGTATTAAATAAACGATACTACGTTCAAAATAAATTACCTTAAAATACAGTATCTGTTTATTCAAATGAAGTCATTTTTATATTTTTGTATTCTACATATTTGGCTTTGCAAACTGAATTTTGAATTTCGACTTCGAATTCGGCTTGATCCAATACCAAACGCAACGAATCCAGTTGGTGAATCAGATTTGCGTAATGCGTTGTAAATGTTTTGTTTTTTTTTCTCGATTCCCGTTGCTGTGTCCTTTCTTCGCTGTTTGTTTGTTTCTCGATTCCCTTGCACTTGCGGCCACTGTGCGTGGGGCGAAGTGAGGGTTGCATCGCCCCCTCATCCCGTCTCGTGGCGCGGGGCGAGGGCCCGGGTGGAGCGGGCGGAGGGCGAAGGAGGGGTGATCCATCTCGGAAAGGCGCAGTTCATCTCGACAGGTTGCGGGCGCGTTGCCGTCTCCTCCTCAGCGCGCGGGCCTCCTCTCGGGGAAGTGAGACATAGGCGATTCGTCTCGGGAAAATCAGACCGCGAGGTTTCGTTTCGAATTGAGCCATCTGCTGCATGCCATGGGTTGTGTTTCAGCGTTCGTAAAATCAGAAGTTTTTGATTTCTTTTTCGAAACTTCTCGTTGGTTGTCTTCCTGATAAATTTCTTGGAAAGAATATTCGAAAGTTTGGTTTTCTGATATTAATAAGCAGTTAACATTCAAAAATATTATGGACATTTTTTCTACTCTAAAACATTATTTCCTGCCTCTCACATTCATTTTATCACAGACACCAGGATTGTGATTAAAAATTGATAATTTTTGAAAATTGCTTTGAAATAATTGCTCTGGCATATCCTAATAAGATCTTCACATATGCGATTCTTTTTCAAAACTGCCAAGTCTTTTTTGCGCATTTCTGCATTTCGTGATCTCGAAGCTGCCCAACCTTCTCCTCTCTCGCCATATATTTATTAAAGGTTGTTCCTGCCTGTTTTTCTCCATGATATTACATTTCGTCCTATTTTATTTAACAGGCTTGTAGAATAACGGCATTGGTGATAAATATTTCCTTATTTGCATAGGATTTCATCCATATAAATCTTAAAAATAATGATGTAATATAATTCCTTTCTTTGCTGTCCCAAACCGTCTCTTTTTTTCACTAGCATTATCGTTTTGTCATCTTTATGTTATCTGACTCTTCAACTCGTCTTGAGTTTCTACTGCAATTTGTTTTCCTTGCCAGGCGAATATTTGTGAGGCTGCTCGGTTCAATGATAAAGTTATGAACTTGAAATTAGACAGCGAACATCTCGTCTCTTACTAAATTGAAATTTAGTTTAATCATGCATCGCAGGCAAGGCAATCAGGTAGCACAATCGTTCAAACGTTCTGTCCTGTACTTTGACTCGACAGCCTATATGGGTCTTGGTCTACAAGCGGTGGCCCAACCTCTCGGTCATTGGATTAGGGGTTCGTGTGGTCAGCACGAAGACAGACCTCCACCGTATATTTTGGTCTTCAATGCCAGGTTTGAAACCGCAGTCATCGTTTGACAGCAAGAGTCACTGGGAGTTTTGTAAGGAAAGCGCACAGTTATAATTTTGCTCCGGCCGGGAATCGAATCCAGGATTGCGCCGTGGAAAACGAGCATGCTAACCACCGAGCCACCGGGGGCGTTTACACATTCTACGTATAAAAATGTACTACTAATAAAATGTAAATCCCCTGTTCAGAACTTTATTCACAGAAATCAAACATTTTGCGTAGTTATTGCATTTCTTTAAGCGTTTTGAAATTAAAGACAATACGTAGTATACGTTGTTTAGTATATTTTTATCAAAAATAATGGAAACGTACGTTTTTCAATTAGAATCGCATCCCATTTCCCAAGTTACTGGGTTTCTAATTAAATCACAAACTCGACCTGTACGGCCGAAGCCTGCATAGTTTACTGTGTATTTCTTCGCGGATAAGTACTATAATGATTTAGTGATTATGTATAATTTTATAGAGACAAAAGAAACGATGCCGTGGATACAAGTGCCGCCTCGTGCACATCTTGCCACGTGTCGCGTTGGCGACAGCTGTCGTAGCCCGTCCCCTGATCCCTGTCCCTGTCCCTGTCCCTGTCCCCCCTGTCCACTTCCGCTCCACTGATCCCTTTGTGCGGCCGTCGTCGAGCTGCAGTGATATTTTCTTTTACCGATTACTCTTCGCATCTTTGAATTTACGATATGCTTTATATGCTAGGCCTTCAGATCGAGTTGTAGTGACTTGTTAAATTGTTGAAAATCTGTATCTTCTTGGTATTTCTTTCAACCACAGGTCCGTGACAAATGCGATACCCGCGTAGTTTTAGTAAGCACGGTATTACGAGAAGTTCTTACGATCGGTTGATTTTAAATACATTCATTTTATTAAACACAAAACATTATCAATCGCTGAATTCGACACAGCCTTGTGAAATACATCTAGAGTCACAGCATTGTGAAAGTACGTTACAACTGTTTCTTTAAATGTTACGCCGAAGATTTCAGAGTTTTACATTTTCAGTAATAATGATGCTAGCGTTTATACTTAGGTCTCCAATTTTTTAATATTCCAAAGTATAAATTATTTGTAATAATTTCATATTAAATAGATAAATAAAAATTATTTTCCCATACTTAGCCAGATTCGTCGAAAACAATCACTAGATTTTTTTTTAAATTTTCGCTTCAAAAATAAATGTACATTTCTCTTAATTGCCTGAAAGTTCATCATACCGCATTGGCTTCCACGGAACACGAAACACCACCACAACGTCGCAGTTTCATACGTTCACTTTCTTGCTTGTTGCTTTAAATCAAGTGAATAAAATACCGGTGTGCGAATAGAATGTAGAATTTACACACATGACTTGTTGTTCGATGGCAGTAATTCTTTAAAATTAATGGTGAAAACAATGTTCTATATAATTTTTTCAAAAATTAAAACGTTAGGGCATTGTAAAACCGCATATTTGGTCAAAATATTTCGTAGCAATCACTGAATGAACGTTTAAAAAAATGAACCGTGCGTCCCAAAATTGGGATGGTTTCTGCGTCTTCGCTGCGATCTGTGGCGGAGGCCGGTCGGTTCCGGGGCTTCGGCGCCGGTGCGGAGGCCCCGGGGCGCCCGCCTGCCGGCCCTTGCTGGACTGCTTCCGCCACAAACCTCCCCGACCTTTCAGAAGGCCGAAACAATAGAAAATTGGCTTCGACGCCGGCGCCGGTGGCGGAGGCAGTCGGTCGCATGTTCGCTCCACGGCACGACGAACCTGCACGGAAGATCCTCCGTCTGGGCTGTTTGGCTTCATTTTATTGCATGGGATATTTCATAGTTGCCTGACGTGTGTTTTAATTTTCTTCTATAATTTTTTTAGCCGTTGAGATGGCTCAGATTTCCTGCAGTGCTTGTGACCGGGAAGTAGGGTTTGACTTCCGACGGGTCAGCGTTTTCGATAGTAGCTACATGGCTAGGTCGAATCAATGAAACAAAGTTATGTACAAAGGAGATGATCATTTTAATTACCATTAAAGAAAGATATTACATTAGATGTTATGGAGATACACTGTATGACACCATAAAACATTATTTCATAGAAATATTTCTATGAACAAATACATGTTTTTCATTTTATACTTATTTAGTTTTCTAACACATTGAGTTACATATTCACTCTCATATCTCATATATTTGGAAAATTCAAGTTATTGTGAATGGTTGATTGGGATTTGATTTCAAATATCCTTTAGGTAAAATTATAATTTAATAAGATTAATATGGAATATTAGTTCTCTATAAGTTTCTAATCTTGTAAGGAAATAAGATAAATTTTTTATGAAAGTGGGTTTCACTTGCTGGTGTCCTTTTAAGGTACTATCAAATTTCTAAAACTCCCAATCGTTGACTTCATTGCCACATTATTTTAGTAAAGGATTAAGCCATAATTTTCATTTTCATGGAATAGGGAATTCAAAGAACCTACTGCATACAGATAGCTTCAGAATAAATCTTACACACTTTTAGAGTGTATATGGGGGTTAAAAAATCAGTTTTTGCCAATAAACATGTGATTAAAAATTTCAAATACGAAGATGCCTTTGACGTTTGCCCCTGGTTTGTATGCAACACATTCTGCTCTGGTGTTGGGCGGGTCACGTTTTTATGCAGTCAAAGGGATTTCGTCCTACTGCCGAACATCTGTACGTGACGTGTGGCCTAACTACCAGAGGCAAATATCACATATGTGATTTCGTGATATGAAATTTTCCAGTGCATGTTCCCTGTCAAAAATGATTATTTTTCGAACCCCTTCCGTGCCTATATGCAATATTCCGATCCCCGTGGTAAGCTTGACGTCGGGATTGACGTGTTGCAGACAAGGTGAAGAAGAAGTATGGCGGGCTGGGCCACCCGGTGCTGCTGGTGCAGCTGGAGCGCGGCGCGCAGGGCCTGGGGCTGTCGCTCGCCGGCCACAAGGACCGCAACCGCATGGCCGTGTTCGTGGTCGGCCTTAACCCGGCGGGCGCCGCCTTCAAGACCGGCGCCATCCACGTGGGAGACGAGATCCTCGAGGTGAGCCGCCGACAGTCGCGTTGCACTTGCGGAGCGATGTTAGCACTGCTAGGGACCCATCCACAACAGTATTGCCCCGGCTGGTGGTGCGTACTCGATTACCGATGGTAATGCACTTTCTTAGCCCCCATTGAACCCTTCAACGATCGTATTTCACCTGCTGTAGACGAGATCTTAGCTGTCATTTATATGGTAATTCAAGTTGTTAGGCCCCATAGGACCCTGAAACGATCGTATTGCTTTTGCTGGTGGTGTTCTTATGTTGTGATAGGAAGGGTAATGCGAGTTGTTATCGACATTTTTAATGTTGCAGTAATAAGTTATGATGGTTTAGCCATCATCATCAGTTTCTCTGTAGGGGATTACTAGTCGAATTATTGGACAAAAACTGTTGATCTGAAGATTGTGTCTAATCCGTCAGAAAGTCGATAAGTGATAGTAAAACTATTCGTTAAAACAGTGTCAACTTGCATTGGCGCATAGAAACACCCAAGTGTCTGGGAGATCGGCGACCCCCTTGCTTACAAATAATGCGTGAGATGTTCGTATAGTGCACTATCTTACCGATTTTATTACTTCGCACATGAAAAAGTATCGATTGTTATGGTGAGGAGCGGTCAATGTTTTTTTGTTTTGTTTTACCAGATGGGGTAGTTAAGCTCATAGAATAGGAAGACAGACATTTTCGATGAAACAGCTAATGAGCTTCAGAAAAAGTATGCAGTCATTTTTTAATCAATATCTAATTAAATTTAAGGCGCAATTGTTTTCTTCTCAATTTGTGATATCGGAGCTGTATTTCAGCTGTCATTTGTTACCTCTCTTAATTGCCCTTTTAAATGGGACATTTAAGTGCTCTATTGCATGTATTTTTGAAAATTACATGAACATATGACATGTAATATAATGAGTTATTACGTAGTAGTGTAGTAAATTGGTAAGAAAAAGTCAGTTAATTTCTTTTTTGACAAACAGGAAAACACTTATCCCTGAAAGAAAAGTTGCACCAACGCGATAAAAAAATATTATGTGCGCGCTAAGGCTGTACCCAATGTGCTCAGAGTAATTGTTACTTGAATATCTAATCTCAACAATAAATGAATTTCGTGTTATGGTTGCGTTTGAAGTTTCTTTCTTAATAACGTCTTATTTATGCATTAAGGTTTAATAATAAAATAATTCCGCTCAATCCGAAAGGGGCGCCGTCTCAATTATTTGGAAGCAGCGGGGCTCTCGTGCAGCGAGTGGAGGAGTTCCGCTCGGGCGGGAAGCCCCTGCCTCGGCCCGCGCGCCGGAAGTCCTGTTAACAAGCTGCTTTCTTCGAGGGCGGCGCCGCGCCGCGCGTGTGCTCAAGGCGCTACCTGCCCGTGCCAACAACGGTGGCGCTGTTTATTGGTGCTGTTGCTGCCTGGCTTGCCTCTCGTCCGTCGGCGTTTCTCGGTAGCGCTTCTCGGTAGCGCTTCGCTTCCCGTGAGGCGCGGCGGGCACGAATCAAGGAGAATAAACTCCGTGACCAGGCTATTGTTTTTTGTTTTTTTTTTTTGTTTCTTTTATCATCTCATTGCTCATGGTTGGCCTAGGATATCATCATTTCCGCTCCTTCAGCACGTTAATATCAATAGGCGTACTTGGCGGTGAAGTGCTTTTTGCTTCGCTTCATGTTGCTAATTGTGTTAGAATTGTTCGGAATCGCGAAGTGAGAGGCATATTTAGACATATGAAGACGCCTGGAACAGCCCGTTCCGGTTGATCTGGTAGTGGTACCTTGTGGTGTCGATTGTTGCCCGAGGTGAAAACGATTTTCTTCGTTTACTCCTTCCTCCCTGATCTCAAATAGCATTTTCAATTTTTTGTTGAAAACGTACTACATCGTGTCTTATGAGACAAATTACATCTATATTTTCATTATCTATATTTACTGCACGTTAAATAGTATTGCAAAAATGACATGCTTACCTAAACCATTATCTAACTTTTATGGGAGGAGTCAAGTACATCAGTTTTTCTGGTCAGTATTGCTTCGTAAAAAGCAGATATTTGCCGTCGAGTCACATGTTTTTTGCAGTGGATTCTGAAAGCTTCCTTAAATGTCAGTTTTCGCATGTTTTAGTTACCCGATGGAAATCACTTGCGCCAAAATATGTGCAGCGTGAAATTAAATCAAATACATTGAATATATTTCAGTGGTGTAAATCCCTATAAATTAACTAAAAAATTTGAATAGCATTGCTGCGTAAACAACCTTTCAACATAACAAATTTTACCATTGTAATTACGTGAAATACATTTCACATTTTTGATATGTGTGACTAGACTTTCAGGCATGAAATACTCGTAGCTTTCTCGGAATCTAATAAAGAATAATGTTTAGTGTACAAGCACTACATCAGAAGTTCCAGGGTCCATAAATCTTTCGCCATGTAGACGAAATAACTAAAAGAGCATAGCATTAACGACCGTCGGCGATAAAATACGCGCGTGCCTGGCAGCGAAGAAGCCGAGAGGTCGCGAAGAGCGCGATGACTCCTCCGCTTAAACGTTTTGCCTTCGCGCAGAGCTTGTGTGCTTTAGCCAGCGCTCGAGCCCCTGCGCCTGCACGCGTAGGAATGTGCAAAAAACATCCAAGTTCTTATAACATATTTTCGGGCAGACACCGTGATATAATATCGATATTTTCTTCAGATAGATTCACTTATCAAGAAACTTGATGTTTTCAAAAAAATATCGTGATATAAATATAATTTTCTGTTGTTGTTTTTCTCGCAATCAGCAGCTATTGACAACTACCAATCCCTAGGCGGCATGATTCCAGTTGCTATTTGCAACTTTTCTGCAGGGTGTTTATTTATTTATTTTTGATTTTAGAAGTTGTAAAATCGTTTAACTTCATTTCTAACCTTCAATGCATAGAACATTGCATAGGAAATTAAGATAACAGTAAAATGTAAGGCAGAACATACTTTAATGTAAGACTGACGTTTTATGATATTAAAATCAGAACATTTTACTTAATAAATATTGCGTGGCGTACTAAATGTTAAATACGAAATGTTTCATCATATTTAAAACATAGATAGTATAAATATCGATGCTTTTGTCAATATTTTATCGACCTCGAAAACCTTTCGGTGATGTACCGATGTTTTGCTCAAATTTGTCACCACTGTGCACTGTGCACTACGGCCGCTCCCAGCGCCAACCCCGCGCACCGCATCGGCGCCACCTGCTTCCGAACCGTTCGACTCCCTGTGCTACATTTGCCCTTCCCTGCTTCGTTTCGACCGTCTCCTCTCCTCCTCGCCTTCCGTTTCACACTCCACCTTTTCACTTCCTCTCCTAGAACCCTTTTCGACCCTTCATGCTTGCCTATATTTCGCCTTCCGCCCCACTTCTCTCTGTTTCTTCATGCTCCTCTTCAACTCTCTTTGAACTCTTTGCCCCCCGTTCCATTCCACTCCTTCCCCCCCCCCACCCTTTCCCCTTCCCGTCCTACCCCTTCTCCTCTCCAGCCCACTCACCGTCCCGCCATTCACCCTCCCCGCCCGCCTCTCCCCTCCCCACCCGGTCCATCCCCGCCCGCAGCCTTTTCGCCAACGCCCCGCGCCACCGCAGCCTGCACGTCCGCTCCCGCCTTCTTCCGAGCGGTACGCTATCTCCCAAGCCCCGATCTTCCCGCGTATAACGCTCACCAGCTCGCCTTCTCTTTGAGCCCGGAGACAAACGCGCGCCACCCGTCTCGCGCCTGCATCCCGCCCTCCGCACGCCGCCTGCCTCCCGCTTCGCCCGGAACCGCCACTTCGCGATGCGTCTCGTTAAAACACCGCGTCGACGGCGGCGGCTGCTGAGCGCTTTAAGGCGGCCTCCGCCGTAAATCAGGCGCGCTCATCGCGGCATTTCCATGCAGTCGCCGTGCACTTCATCACGCTCTTCACGCGCCTCCGAAGATCCACGCGCGGAAATGCTTCACCCGCTCTTTATCCGCAAGCCTGCTGTAGTCGTTTGCTCGTCCACCCGCGCGCTCTCTCGCGTGAGCGTTCGCTTCACATGGGGCCAACCGGTAGGACAGAGGCGATCACGTGCCTCCCATCTGTGGGCTCGAGAGTTCAAAAACCGGTCCTTCCAAGGGGCGTGGCCGACAATGAGAGCTCGGAGCGGGTTTCCTCGGGATGTTCCATTTTTTCTTACTTCCATTCATTAATAATAATTCACTCATCATTCTCTCTTCTCATGCATTCACCATTCCTGGTCGCGGGCTACTGCAGGTACTAGAACCACGAAACAAAATTGCTAAAAAATCACCGCTGTTCTAACTTTCTCCCGATCAGCCTTCTTTGCACGCATCTCGCGGCTCATATCATACGCGAACATTATGTTTTCCCTTGTCGAACCATTGTCTGCCTGGGCATCCACTCAAGCCTTCGCATCTATCTTCGAAATTCGTACTATTTTTATGTAGTTATCGATCTAAACTTACAAATTACTTAATTATGGCATCCATTTTCAACTTTTGAAATTACTGTGTTGCTTCAATATCTTAATTACTTTTTTTAAATAGATAGGTGTGTTAAAATAGGTTATAAAGGATGGATGGGAAAGCCACAAGAGTAAACATCCACGCCGAAGCCAAATTCTAATCTCCAGCTCTCCATACGAAATTGCCACTGCGCCTCCCCTTTAGCTATCTCGGCGACCCGGAACGTTTCTTATGTTTTTTATTTAAGGTCGCATCAACTACTAGGTCATTAGCGACCACTATTGCTTGTAACGGTATGGTAACTGTGGAATGACACGATAATGATGATGATAGGGGGTGAAAGGACGAAACACAATACAACCATGCCCCAGGCGGGACTCGAACCCGCGATCCTTCGGTCCGAGTTCGCTATGGCACTACTGCCTTAGCGATCTCGGCCACCGGATCGGCTCTTATGTTCTTGAAAAATAATTATTTGGGAAAATGTTTATTATGACTTCGCACG